GAAACAGAGGACGACGAAGAAGAGGAGGAGGAGGACGCAGAAGAAGAGGAGGAGAAGGACGCAGAGGAGTACAACGACAATGACGGGCCTCAACCGACGCAGCCAAGCCAGGGGAAGAGGGTATCTCATCCACACCAGGATATTTTGAGCCCATCCCCGTTTCAGAAACCGGTTCCTCGTCGTCGCACGAAGAAGCCAGACGAAACCCGCTCGAAGAGAAACGACGACCGTACCGCTAAGAGGAGCAGGAGCAAGTGACCACTCGTGTTGGTGATGTCGTTTAGTACAACTAGTTGTGAGCAAGAACTTGTATGCTATGCTAGTGATGTCTATTTGGTACTTTCAAGCTTTGTTGGTGATGTCGAATTGCTACTTTCAAACTATGTTCAAACTATTTGAAATGTTAATTTGCTATCTACAATGTGTGCGATCATCCTATTTTGAATTACAAACAATATTTGTTGTGATGTTTATTTATTTTTGATTGATAAGACAAAGAACCAGTTTAGAAGTTAACTGGCACATATCCTACCGCCGAAAGGGACGGCGGTAGGTGTAGACATCCTACCGCCAGGACCTTTGGCGGTAGGTTGTGGTACCCTACCGCCAACGGGTCACGGTTTCTTCGTCACAGAACAGAAGGCATGTGTGTAGGACCCTGCCGCCAAGGAACGTGGCGGTAGGTTGGGGTACCCTACCGCCAGCGGAAACGCCATCTTCGTCACAGTACCGAAGGCACAGCCTACGGCACTACCGCCGAGCCTTCTGGCGGTAGCCTTAGCTGGACTACCGCCACGTCCTGTGGCGGTACGACCGTTACGCCGCTCCCCGTGGCGGTAGCCTGTACACGCCTACCACCATGATCTACGGCGGTAGCGAAAGGGTCAAATCTCAAAAAAAGTTCGAACTGGGGTCAGATCCCGATTTTGTTTGCAAAAAGGGTCAAAACACGAAATTTGGCCTCCCCATGATGACAACACAGTATCACTCTTTCTTATCTCCAACCTGTCAACTGCTCTAGGAAGAAGTGGCCCCACTGGAGTCTGACACACTCAACTTTTCCAGATGTTCCATACCGGTTAGTGTCAGCGAACTATTCTGTTGGCTCAGCCATGTTGGCAGGCTGGCGCCATTATAACCCATTATCACCAACTTGTGTACACTTTTCGGTGGCATTAGTTTCTCCAACAACACTTTATCATCCACAAACGTCTCAGCACCTTCACTCCAAGACAAACATAATTCCTTGAGATTGTTTTTTTCCATCAACTTTATACCCTGAGCCTCTTCTGCGGACCTCACATTTTCAAGCCAGACTATATCCAGCTCCGGAGGATTCATGTCCTTTAAGCAGATAAGATTGCTGCTCGATTCACCATCTCTAACGCGGACCTGAAGAAGTGGTAATGATATGAAACTGGTACTAGGATGAGGTACAGGTTCTTCAGCAAGACCATAGACGCCCTTTAAATGTACGGTCTTCAAACTATGAATTTTACCCATACTTTCTGGTATCTTCTGAATGTTTTGGCAGTACGAGAGGTCCAGTGTGTGCAGCTTTCCCAGGTTACAAAAACTTTCAGGTAGAGCAGTAATACCATCATTAAAAGACAAGTCCAAATGCTCCAGATTTGAAAGGGCACTGATACTGTCCATCAAACTGTCATTTTCACCTTCTCGAAGGCATTGCTTTAGGTTTAAGTATTGTAGACTAGTAAGACCATCAAGAGATTCTGGTAGCGACCCAATAGAATAACAACTTGATAAGTTCAAAAATATTGCAGGTCCGTGAAACTCCACATAAACTTCAATATATTTTCCAAAGCAGAGCATTTTGACAAATCAAGATGGACCAACTTTTTTAGCTTCCCAAATGATTCTGGCAGTTCTTTAATTCCCTCACAGCCTGACAAATCAAGATACATCAGACCCTCCATTTCTCCAATTGACTCTGGCAGTGCAGATAGAGAAGATTCTCGAAGACTGAGGTAAAGTAATTTTGACAGGCTAGTGATATTATCCGGAATATTGTGTGCTCTTGGAGCATTAAGATACCTCAACTGCTTGAATTGGCCAATTGAATTTGTCAATTTATGAATGGAGGACTCGCTCAAGTCCAAGACACGCAGGGATTTAGCAAAGGCAAATGCAGCATCATCAAGTCGAATTTTAGCTGAGCCCATAAAACGGAGTGCCCTTATCCTCCGTGACTCCACTAGGTTGCTACAATCATTGAGCCGTGCATAGTGGCAGCGGTTTCCCCCAGTGTTGCCATCATTGCCAGCGAGAAGAATTTCGTCGTCCATCACCGACCTTGCTAGATCATGCACCAAGTCGTGCATGGTGAACCCTGTAACATCGGCAGGGCCATAGCGGAATCTTGCAATCTGAAACAAAAGCCATTGGCAGTGTTAGATTTTTATATTTCAAGCGTTCGATGCACTAACAAATTTAGTAGCAACAGGTAGCATACTGAACAAAATTAAGCTACGCAATTGTATGGTTCAAACAATATGTTTTTTTTTTCAAAAAGAGTATAATCCCCGGCTTTTGCGTTAGGGATGATGCATGCAACCATATATTATTAAGAATACAAAATCCAGCAGTCGAATAACATCGACCGGATAAAGCGAAAATAAAACCCGGCAATGCCTCGCGACTATAACTCCACCAGATAGCCACTACCCCTATGTTACAAGACCACACCAATACAAAGAATACACAACACTCCTAGACTACACCTTCAAGAAGGAATCGTTGCACGTGTGCCGATGATGGTGATTCCAACACAAGGTTGAACTCCGGATTCCCATCCCTAAAGCCCAGCTTCAACCCCCACCTTCAGCAAGGACAAGCGCGTCGACATAGCCTGATCAGAGATCTTGTGTTTCCACTGGAGTGTGTAAGGTCGTCGTTGAATCTGTATATACCATCATCCCTTATCCGGCCACCGATGCCTCAACAACCGGATACCTCTGTAGAAGACATACATCCCTTACTGCCCACCTCCCACCACTGTTGCACCATCTTTGATGCAGCAACAATGTGCTAGACATGAGACATGTGCCAGAGCCACCATGCAGTACGTGCCGGTAAGAGGCATGACTTGGCGTCCTTGCAGCAACAACGTGCTAGACATGTGACATGTGCCAGAGCCACCATGCAGTACGTGCCGGTAAGAGGCATGACTTGGCGTCCTCGCATGAGACGTTATGTGTAGCATCAGCCGGCGGCGCATCCGCCAGGCTTCACCTACTAGTGACAGGCACTACCCAATGACTCCAAAAGAGACACATGTGTCACTTGCCAAGCCGCATCAAACCCACCACGTGAGAAGACGACGGATCCTCGCCGCCGCCGTCGGCCTCGTCTCCTATGGTCCTTGGACCATGGACGCGTGGTGGATCCCGACCCTTGCTGGCGGGAGGGCTCCATTTTTAGATGTTTTTCTGAGTTTTGTTAGGGTTTCTGCCATGCTCAAGAAGAGAAGGCGGTGGCGGCTTCTTGAAACTGGAATAAGGTCCTCCCTGCCTAGGCCCGTCCTGGTGATGTTTCAAGCATCTTCAGAAGGTGTGTGGAGGTTAGTCTCGATATCAAGGGATCCGTTCGGCATTTGACTTTGGTGGATCTGACTGGCTCCGGTTTTCGTTCGTCTACGTCTGCGTGTTTGCAGGTTGGATCTTTTTTTTATCTATGCTTCTCTTCATCGGCGGCGGTTGCTGTTCTGGTGCGTTGGTCCTATGGGGTCTTAGCATGATGACTTCCTGACTGTATACTACAACAATGTTTGCCCGGCTTCGACGAGGGAGGGGCGATGATGGCGGCGCGCCTCTAGCTCGCTCCAGTGCTTGTAGTCGTCGCTAGGTGGTCTACGAACCTGGAAGTAAATTTTACTTCTAGTATTCTTTGTACTACTTTGACAGTTGATGAATAGATCTGATGTTTTTTGTAAAAAGTTTTTTTCTTTAAGTAACATACAAAAATAAAAATAAAGTAGCCAAAATAATCAAGGATGACCTCGAGTGCACCTTTATGTGTGGGTATTAAACCCATTAAGCATCGTCAGATTGGCGGCCAACCAGCCATGCCAAGCTGGTTGGCCGCAATGAGAAAGCTTTTACAATACTTTTTAGATGGAGTTGAGGATTTTTTTTTGAAATGTTTTTTTAGATGGTGGTCAGAACCTCACATATTTTTTAAATGGAGGGTTAATTATGCAAAGTGGCGCTCGTCGCTAGGCTACGGTGGTAATTTTTTCTTTTTTATTTCTTTTTTTAGATGGAGGTGAGAATTTTTTTTTGAGATGTTTTTTAGATAGAGGCGAGGACCACAATTTTGTTTAAATGAACTTCCTCTCAAGCGGCGCCACAAGGTGGCGCCCAAACCACTAGTATGCTTATATGGGGTGTGCCGTGGTGTCTCGGGTGCGCTTTTATGTGTGGGTATATGCTTATATGGGATGTGTCGTGGTGTGTGCACGACCAACTGAAATTTTCTAACAAGTTACATGGATAAGTTGAGTATGTTGTAAAATGCATTAACCACTGAAAGATTGGATAAACATGTGCACCATATAAATAAGCATCTTATGAATTCCCACCCAATTACCTTCGAATGTTCAAGGAAGGAAAGCTTCAAAAGCTGAGTAATGTACATTTCGCCAAGCTCCCAAGCGGTGAATGTCGGTGTTGCCCCAATAAAAGAAAGAGAAATCCACTGGTGAATTAGATCACCTTTAGATATCTTGCATCCTTTTGGAAAGATTGCCCAATAGGCAAAGCAGAGCTTCAAATACCGAGGCATAAAAGTATAGCTTAACCTCAAGGATGCAAGCACCCGTGTTGCCGCTTCATCTTTCGGATCTGAAGAAGAAGCAGATACTTTCCAAATATCACTGTCTCTCACTTTCTTCCATTGATTATAGGTCATAGCTTCCAAAATTGGTCCAATTGATTGAGCAGCTAAAGCCACACCTCCACACTTCGCTGCAATGGCTTCCCCTATATCCCTGAACTGTTCTTTATCATCTCTAGATTCAAGCCACTTTTTTTCTTAATTATAGTCCAGCATATCTCATCTGTTAGTGATGCTAGCTCATGTGGGGGAATGGTTGAAATTTTCCTTGCAATCTCCTCATTGCGTGTGGTTACTATAACAACCACCTTGGTACCCTTTCCAACCTTAAGCATGGCAATCAGACTATCCAATTGGGAATCATCCTCTGCCCACAAATCATCTAGAATAATCAGAATCTTCTTATTGGCGAATAGTTGTGCAAGTGATACGTGTATCATCTGCTTTTCAGTGTACGTACTCTCACTCTCTGATAGTTGACTTATTAAAGAATTGCCAATTTTGTTCAAATCAAATGTCTCGGACACATAAATCCACACCCGAACATAGTCTTCAAATTTGGTTTTATTATTGTAAATCATTTTCGCCAAGGTCGTCTTGCCAAGCCCTCCAATGCCGTGTATAGGAAGGACAATGAGATTTTCTATTACGCTCTCAGATAAGGAAACCCATATCATATTTTCTTCTTCGCTCCTCCCAATGATTGATGCCTCAATGGTTGATGATGTTTCACGCATTTGGATGATTTTCGGCTCATCGGCATTAGTGCCTGACACTAACATGAATTTCTGATATTGATCTGTGATCCCCTGCAGTTCCTCCCTCATCGTCTTCATCTTGTTAGCCATTGTGAACTTGGGGCCAATTGTGAAACAAGGCATCATAACTGCTAGATGTTTCTTCATGGAGAACTGCAAGAGATCATCAGCTTAATTCTTAGTCATTGGCGAAATGGTTGGTGATATTAGGAAAAAGTCTATTTTAAGCCAGAAAGTTTGATGCATTTTCTGGCAGGCCCAACATATAAATTCTAGTTTTGATTTTGAACATTCTCATGCCGGTCATTAATTTTAGACTTTATGGTTGACTGGTATTTTTTGTTCAAATGTAGATGAGTTCAACTTTGTCCATTTAAAGTTTGTATTCACTAAAATATTTAGAAATGAAAATAGAACTTGGTCAAAGTATGCATCTTTCTGTCTAGCACCAGGATATCTTCTTCTGTGGATTCGTCATATTCTTGTTGTGCCAAAAAAAAAGCATTGAATCTAAAATGGCAAGGATTAAAAGTTGCAGTGCCTGGAATTCAAGGTCGACAAGTACCACCATCAAACTTGAAGGCTCAAATGATTATTTCCTATATATATCTTGTTGTATTAGATATGTTTCTGGCTTAAAGAAAACCGGTTAGGGTAAAACATTAAGCGCATAACTTCATATTTTCTATTTCAGTATAATCACATGTATATTAAAAAGCAACAACTAAATTTCAAAAAAAATATTTTTAATCAATGTTAAGATCAGATTATTATGTACTCCAATATAAAAAATGTCACAATTAATTCATCGCACATAATTATAGGTGTAATTATCTTTATTCGTAGAATGTTATTTTCTTCGACTCTAGCTCCGGCGACCCAAATAAATTGGTCCTGGCCTCCTTGCCTCGACGGCGATGAGGGTGTGAAGGAGTTGGAAGCTAGAGGACGCTGCTCAGTTGTGTAAGCCGAGGACAGAGCCCATCCCTCCCCTTTTACAGGTCGGCGGACTGCGGCCTGACCAGCAACCTAGAGGGTGTTGTTCAACGGTCTCGGAGGTTGAGATGGTTGCAGGGGTTCGTTGTGAGGAGGAAGACAGCTCAGAGGGCCTTATTGTTATTTTACTTTTTGCGAGGGTTCTTATTATTCCACTGCTTGTACTCTGTTTTCCTTAATACAGCGTATTTTCGGAGAAAAAGGAAAAAGAAAAAAGAAGAAGCATGGTTCAGAGTTACCTTGCGTGTTTGCTCAGCCTCAATTCCTGCTTCAAAATCATCAATCATGTCGGCAATGCCATACATGGCGTCCTTGAGACGATTGAGCCACAAACGCATGGAGTTGTTGGTGTTGGCGTGCTCAGCGTCCTTGAGGAGCGCCTCAATGGACTCGAGGGTAGCCTTCATCTCCTTCAGGTCCTTGTCCAAGTTTAGCTGCAGCTTGATCCGACCTCCCAGCAGCGAACCAATCTGCTGCACCACCTCCTTCAAAAGTGCAGCGGCAATCATGGCCCCGATTTCCGCCATGGCTTCTCTCTTGTGGGATGCGCAGAAGAAGGATGGGGTGGGATGGGGAGGTAGGAATGGGGATACGACCTTTCTGGTGGCGTGTTCGACTGGATCTTATTGTCGAAGCAATTGCCAAGAAGTTTCCTTCCATAATATCTGTCATGTCAGCTCCCCCTAGCTAGGCATCTTCCTAACGATTTCTTTGGCTTGATTCCTATGCTTTGACTTGTTGTAAATTGGACAATATACGTACTCCGTATTTGATAAGTTATAATAAGGTAATTCTGGATCTTGGTTTGATGCTATAGGTGCAATGCTTAGTGGTTGGTTTCTACTCCAGTTTTTTATTTGGTTAGGTGCATTGGATGCGTTAGGTACAAGACTAATTTACAACGGGGTTAGGTACAAGATTAATTAACCACTAAACAAACTCTCTGCTGTTTCTACAAGACTAGGTTAGGTACTGCGTGAGGCAAAAGAAAAAAAAGAGAGGTGATAACAGAACAGAGAAGAGAGATTGGGGGAAGGGAACGAGTTACTACCTTTACCAACTCTGCTGTTGTTGTAGCCTGCCGCCGCGGCCGACATGGACGGAGTGATGGCTTGCCGGCAAGCGGTGGTGATGAGATTCATAAGACTCACTTCGCCGGCTAGGAGCTGCTATCGCGAGGGGTGCGGCGTGGCTTGTGATGGATAATCTGCTCACACATAGCTTCAGACTTGGCAAAATTCAGTTCTCTGAATAATTCTGACCGTTAGCGTGTGTCTGAATAATTCCTTCAGTTAGTTAGCTAGTATTCAGCTCGCCGTAGGAATCGCCATGGGATGGCATGGATCACGCATTCCTCGCCGTGGGCATGTAGGGCTCTGCACGTTCGAGCATCGTGGGATAGCACGGTCTGTAAGCTCGGGGGCCGCATGACCATTTCTTGCTTGTTTTCAGGAGATCGTTGGAGTTCAGATAAATAAGAAATAGAACAGAAAAGCCGCAAGTTGTTACAGCAGCGCAAAACCAGTGTCTTCTACCTTTCGCTCTCTCTCGATTGCTCTCTCTTGCGTCGTGCTTGCAGGTCTCTGCAACAATAAGTGGCATCAGAGTCATGGTGGTGTACGATTCATCCTGGGCGCGGGCGGTGTTTGATCCCCCGGAGAGATGGTCGGCAGGGATGATGAGAAGACGAAGAAGCAACAAGAGGAAGAGAAGGCCGCAACAGAGGTGGCGGCTCTAGAGAAAACCCTGGCGCCCGCATGACCTAGATTGACATCTAATCTCTCTGATGTAATGAAAAGCTCATCTCTGCAGAGTATATTTAGAAAAATATTTTAGTTCACACATATTACAGGTAAAAAGAATGTGTTCTGTGTTAGTTACATGAACTTACCATTCTTTATTTGTCCATGACTACGTTTTACAGGTCTTCGATGGCTTTGTTGATGGCATCAGTATGTGTGTTCCCTTTCTCCTTTGTGCCTGGAATGATTTTGAATTTAATGTAAATAATTTCAAGTTGCAAGATAGCAATTAAGTTTCTTTTGTCTTGCATGTTTCGCTACTAAGAGATATGCGTTGTCCAGTGTTGATCCTTTCTTGTTCTCCTTTTTCTGGCTGCATGTGATGATGTCCTTTTTGGGTTGTACATTCAAAGGTGGATTCATCAGTATCCTTTTATCCAATTTCTGTTGCATCCTCGTTTGAGTCCGCTTTGTGTTTCTTAGTGTCAGGTTTTTGCTTGTCAAACATCGTGTCTTGCTGGTGGTCTTTTCCGGCTTCTTTTTCAGTGTCGTCCTGATTGGCGGTAACCTGTTTGACAGGAGAATCACCGTCGTATGATGGTGGAGGGTTTTCTTGGATGGTGTGTGATTCTTTCTCTGAAGTATCATACCCATGTTTTTGCAGGACACTTTGAGTGTTTGCTTCATTTATTGTATCTGTGTGGTTTCCTTGTTCAGGTTTCCGCGTGTTATCATGCAAAAAGCGTTAAACAATTAAATTTGCTACTTTATTTTAATTATAGCAGCTCTGACATGAAAATATTGAAATATCTAGTGCATGTTTTGATCTATGTGATTGTGAAGAGGTATTATTTTACTGAGATTTGTGGTGGTGTTCGCGGAAGCTAAGCTATAATTTTATAGAAACATTATATGCAACTTCACCTCTTTAGTCGTTGTTGCTGCTGCTGATTGTTCCACCCGTTCTTTTTTGAGCAGAGGTTTTTGGGCATCCTCTTGTTCTTTGTTTTAGTGTTCATCGTCACTGTCCTCGTTTTTGTCTTGCAGATGTTCAAACATAGAGGTGGTTAAGTGGGAGTGCATTTGAGTGTTCATGGAGCTATTTTGTAATTTCATAGAAGCAACTTATGTAACTATACCTTTTCACTGGTATGTAACTACCTGTTGTTTGGTGAGTGAATATTTCGGGGCTTAGTCTTCTATGGCACTGCTGTCTACCGTTTGAAAAACATGTCCCCCTTGTTCATTTGCCTCCTCTTGTTCATTGGCCTCCTCTGGCAGTGACACGAAAATAGCGAAACATCTAGTGTGTGTTTTGAACTATGTGATCATGAAGAGGCATTATTTTATTGAGATTTGTGGTGGTTTTCATTGAAGCTAAGCTATAATTTTGTGGAAACACTTTATGCAGCTTCACCTCTTTATTCGTTGTTGCTGCTGCTGACTGTTCCACGCGTTCTTCGTTGAGTGGAGGATTTTGGGCCTCCTATTGTTGTTTGTTTTGATGTTCATTGCCACTGTGTTTGACACGAGAAAAATATCTGGACTCCGGGGGAAAGGAAATGGGAGTATATTTCTCTCTTGCGCCGGGACAAAAAAAATATACGCGAGCGTGCCAATGTACCGTAGTACACAAAGAAAAAAGATATAGGAAACGAGTATTTCATTAATCTCAATGGAGAAATAAAATTACAAGATCCCGTAAAGAAAACAAATGTGCTCCATGGCCTACTAGCGCGGCTAGCCTGACTGTGGCGATTGCGGTCTCCTGGTTCCCGGGGCCTCGGAAGGCTCTCGGTTAATTACTCCAGCGGGTTGCTCCGCGGGATACCTCCGATTGAGCTGTGTGGTCGTCATCGTCGTCTTCGCTTCGCGTTCTCCATGCATGATGATGGTGGTGTGTGTGGGCGGCGGCAGAGCCCATGTCCTCGTCGGTACATGCGCCGCAAGTAGCTTGGCCTTTGCGGTGGCCACGGCCGCCCTCGCCGTCGTGCCTTATCGGTCTTGGCGGCGTTGGAGTATTTGTTGTCGGGATGGCATGGGTCGCACTCAGTTCGGACTTCTCGACGACCAGCTGCTTCATTAGGGTGTGCAAGGGGCTACACTTTGCGGGAGTAATGGTTTGGGGAGACCGCGTCAGTGTAAAAACTAACGCGCGCTCACATTGGCGTGGCCGGGGCGGTTGGCACCTCGCCTCGGCTAGACGCCGAGTATTCGGCTGTCCGCCAAGACAAAGAATGCCGCCTCATGAGGCCGTGGAAAGGTGGCGTTGTAGAGGCCGCGTCGCCTTGGGCTGATGCTACGCCAAAAGGTGACCTGTACGCCGGCAACGCCGTGGACCTGTACGCCAAGGACCTGTTCAGCACGGTGGGTGCACCTCTCGAAGGAGGGACCGGTCTTGTACTGCGTCGCTGCAAACTCTAGTTCGAACAAAGATCTGTACGCCATGAAGGGGGGAGTGAGTCCCGGGCTGTGTCGTCAACGAGCTCTGATTCCGCCACACCGTCGCCGCTGCCCCCTCCCACAGCGCTCTCCCGCAGCCGCTGCAACCCCCCTGCGCCGCTGCCTCTCCCCTCTCCCAAACCCTAACCCGCCCGCGCCGCGCCCCGACAGCCGCCGCCCTAGCCCTACCCGCGCCACACTCCACAGCCGCCCCTTCCCCTACCCGCGCGCCGCCATGTCCTGGCCATCAGTGCCGGCTCACACCTACGAGATCCTCAATGCCTCAGTGGCCAAGATATTCGACAGTAAGTAGCTAGCATGAACTCCATCCCATCATCATAGCAGAGCGGAGCAGAGCAGGGCAGAGCAAGCTTACATAGAGTATAAGTAACCTCGGTGAATTCGTGTCCAGCAACAACAATGTTCCAAGCATCGGGAAGTTCATGAATGAGTGACGGCTCGTCTGCATCATCGTCGTGTGTGCCGGCTCTGTCCGCCATCTCGCACCTTATGCTGAGTCCTCCAAAGTTTGTTGGTTTCAGTCACAGGCCCACAGCCTACTTACCCTGTCTAGTCACGCAAACTTGGTATGTTTTCTGCGTCGATTGTGCGAATACCTCTGTCAACTATAATTGCGTCCAATCGATAATGCGCACCCCTATGTCAACTAGCTTTCATAATTCAGTCATACATATTGACTCGACCGGCGTAATAATGCCAAATGACACATGCATATCTTCAGGTCTGAATTAAAAGCAAACCACGCGGAATGGGTAAACACGTTGAAACCCAACCTCGGCGCTGGCATCCGAGAGCGAGTGCAGGTGGCCATCGAATCAGCGGATGAATCCGCGATGGATGACCTTAATGCGGCCACAGGACCGAATTCAAGTCTGCACTTCGTAACTGTCAGAGGCGACAAGTGACTAATCTTGGTTCCAGTTCAGAATGCAGCTTTCCTGACTGTTTGTAGGGACTTACCACTTCTTTTTCTGGAGTGTGAGGGTGCCTGCAGCTTCGGGCTCCGGCCTTCCCACGGACTGGTCTCCGCTGAAAATGTCGTCACGAACCCCCGATGGCGCAGATGTTCTTGTTAGACATATACTATTTGATAGTAGAGATTGGCCGGAATTAGATAGAGTTATTTCGATCTTATCTTTAGAAGATATCTTGCCCTTCAAATTTTATACTCAATATATACTCACCCTTGTGGCTCAGTAATACATCCATCATATTCCACAACAGTCCTTTCTCTCCCTCTTTTAACATGGTATCAGTTTTCGGGTTCTAAACCCTAGCCGCCGCCGCTTCCGCACCTGCGTGTTGCCTCTGGGGCGGTCGGCCTCCATGACCGCCGTCGGGGGCCGCACCGCCCGTATCTAAGATTCGTCCGCCGGTCGTGTTGACCGGCTGCCCTAGAGAGTCTTTTTCCCGAGCCCTTGTTCTGGGTTTTTCTCTCTCCTGCCGGTCATTTTGATCGGCGTTTTCTTTTTGGTTTTTCAATCTATGCTTGATCAGTTTGCGTCACCCGCCGTCGCCATCGACACCCCGCGCCTCCACTCCGACACCGGCGCGCCCGGCCGGCTACTTCACCAACCCGGCGGCCTCGCGCGACAGGCGGCCCCTCAAGGCCGTCGTCCGCGCGCCGGCCCGCCCGTCGCCCTGCGCCGGCCTTCACCGCCCTGCTCCGACCGGGACACCTGCATCGCCTACACCCGGCGGCCTCGCGCCATACGACGGCCGATCATAGCCTCCGCTCGCGCGTCGGCCCGCCAATCGATCCACGCCACCCGCCTCCAGCGCGTCTGCACGGCGGCCCTGCGGGTTGATTCGCCGGCCTCATCCCCGACTGCGTCAGGCCCGTCGGCTGCCTTGAGCTCGGGCGCCGCTGCTCCGTTGGTCGCTCGGGCCTCGTTGCCCGGGCGCCGGCGCTGCTTTGGTGACCCGGGTGCCGGTGCTGACGCGCTCGTTCGCTCGTCGTCCCACGCCGTCCATCGTCGTCGGCTTCATCTCGGACTCCTCCGCCACCCCGTCTTCACCGAGCGACATCCCCGACTTCACACGTGATCGGATTGATCACCCGCCCGCCGCCGCGATCCGCCTCATCTACGCCGTGCGACCGACCTGACCCGTCGGTTGCGTGCGCCTCCGCAGGCCCCATGAAGACTGTCTCGAGTTCCGTGCGCCTCTCTACCGACCGAGCAACGGGATGCCGCTGCGTCGCCCCATCAGGCCGCAGCGTCGCCGCCCCGTGGTTCTTCTCCCGGTTGCACCGACCCGCGTCGCTGCGTTGCCCCTTTGGGCCGTAGTGTCGTGGCCCACGGGCCATCGCCGCCCCGGGGCCGTCTGCTCCAGGCCGCCCCGTGGCTGCACCGACCCTCACGCCGCCGCTGCATCGCCTCGTCGAGCCGTAGCGAGCATGGCACGCGGTCCACGACGTCGTCCTGAGGTCGTCCTCGCGGTTGCACCGACCCGCGTTTCGCCGCTGCGCCGCCCCTTCGGGCTGTAGCGCCGCGGCCCGCGGTCCGTACGCCCGCCCCGAGGTCTTCCGCCGTCGCCCTGACCTGCCTGCCGCCGCTGCGTCGCCCCTTCGGGCCGTAGCGCCGCGGCCCGTGGTCCACCACTGTCGCTGCGCGTTGACTTCTCGTGTTATGCGCCGCGCCGCCTCCCTTGGTGTGGGAACGCCACTGTCCGCGCCGGTCTTCGTCATGCTGTCGGGTTCTTCGCCTCCTTCGAGCACCGCCGCGCTCCTAACGTAGCCGCCGCCGCCGCTCTTCCTTGGCCGCCGCCGCCGCAGCCGCCCGTCCGCCCCGTTCGTCTTCGTCCAACACTAGCCCATCGCTAGCGTCGTCGTCATCTACCCCGACCACTTCGTCTACTCCGACAACCGCGGGCGACATCGGCCCCGCGCTAATTGGCGCCGCAACCGTCGTCGAGTCCTTCTCTGCTGGCCTATCCGACTTCTTCGACTTGGCGTACAGCTCATGCATGTCCCAGTCTATGCATGCCCGGTGCTGGCAACATCGTCGCGTGTCTTCATCCACGACGTGTCCCCGGGCCTGGCAAGCCTGGTGCGGCGCTTCGTCAACTTCGTCTTCGTCCATCTACGCATGCCCGATGCTGGCAACACCAACACGTGCCTTCGTCTACAATGTGTTCCCGTATGATGTAGCGGGGTGTTGTAGCCCGCAGCACCAATGGCCCCTGGCCCACCATTCCGTTGGCACCAGCAAGCAGCGTCGTAGCTGCCAGCAACAATGTGCCACAAGAACTTGACAGAAAGCACACGGCAGATCTGATGGGCACGCGCCGCCGCGTTCAGGATCAAAGCGGATCCTCTTGGACGGATGCCCATGGACGTGCACATAACCAAGCCAAGAGGCCGGGCGTGGAAGCTTTGTTGTTAGCGAGTGAAATTCTCAGCTTCTACGCGGTTACCGCGGTTACCAACCCCACTCGAGAAACACTCATACCGAGCAAAAAAACTCAAATAATTTGAAAAACTGGAATTCAAACGCTCACAGTGTAGTTAAATAAAGGCTATCTCTTCTCCTGCATTAGAACTGGTCGTGGCCTAGTGGTAAAGCAAACCTTTCTTCGACAGAGAGGCACCGGATCAAGTCTGGACTCTCATATTTTTATTTCTTTTTGAGGATGCAAAAGTTAAAAAATGCTGCTGAATTGTTGGAGCGACCAGGGGTCGAAACTCACGATGAGTGAGCAAGTGGCAGCTGCCGTTGAATAGCCACTATGCCAAGGCAAGGTACGTGATACTTAGGAGTTAAACACCTATCTATATTGACTTGAAAAAATTTGAATTCAAATTTTGATTATAAATTTCATCCTGATTGCGCAATTTCGTCGTTACCGTGATAACAGCAAATTCCGGCGCCCCTCGAGAAAAAAGGTCCACTTGGGATGCGTCCTCGTAGAGAAACTCATGCCTGCGGAGAAGCACTATCGGATCTGATCCCAAGAGAGAGCACCAGTACCACACACGCTTCCCTTACACAGGGGCCCGCTGCCACCAGCGACTACGCTGGCGGCGGCGGCCAAGATAGACACGAACGGGGTTAGGGGATTTAGGGTTGGGGTGACCTCCGGTGTCGCCCCAGCAGAGCAACACGGAAGGCCAAGCCATGCACAACTTGTATAACAAAGAAACTAGGAGTGCCTGCTTTGGGGAAAAAAATTGATCCAGTACCGTAGGCTTACAAATCATAGTAGGCAGATAATATCAAACACATACATGTTTACAAGCCACATGGCAGGTAAACAGTAGTTGTATAAAAAGACCATGATAAATACTGGCACCGAAGCAAACCGTATCATAGAGGCTAATTAAGCAAAAAGAACCCTTTTCTCTGCTCCCAAGTCTAAGCTTCTACCGCCTTCTCTTTGATGCTCTCCTAGTTTTTGTGATCGGCTTTGAAACATGAAAGTATGCACAACCATGTGCCGAGGCCCAAGCCATATGGTAGTTTGCCATACCAGGTTGACGGATGAAACAATCAATTGCCTCTGTTTGTATTTCCTCCTCCTTTTGGTATAAGCTACTTCCGTGTTGGTACGATTCAACCGAGAGATGGTTAAAGATTACTAATAAACTCTCCCCTGTGAGTTCAAACGGGAGATGAGCTAGGAAGTAAACTTGTATCTGTAGAGGTGGCCAGGCCTTTATAGCGTTTATACGCGCTTCATCAGTTGAGCTCCGCGAGCAGTACTCAGAAGCTGAAAACCAACAGCGAAAATCAACTGCCATAACTTCTTGAGGAAATCTGCCGGTTAACTCAGATGAGATGATATTGCTAGCACAAGGCTTGTTGAGCCCATTAGCTATGCAACAAAATGGGTCTGGACACCAATATGTAGTCGCTTTAGCCAGGGTTTCCCACCGTACTGAATCGAAATATGAAACGTCTTGTGTGGGTAATTGGGTGAGTTCCTCAGTTGCATCTTCAACCAGAGACTTGAATTGAGGTGCAAGTGACCGCAAACATTTTGCGGTAATTCCAACTATGTCTGTGCTTTCGTATAATCTTAGAATCAGCACCAACTTGCAATTTTTGAGTGGCACCTTGCGATCTTTGTAATGAAAACTTAGCCATGCGACTCTACCATACTCTTCCACGGAAACCGTCCATATACGAAGTGAGAAAGCCTTGCTTCCTTGCACCATGCGATAGGAGAGACCCTTGCCTTCAAGAAGATGTCTGATGGGAGAACTGAGAAACCTGTAGTGAGAAAGTGAACATCCAGACTCCACGTCCCTCACAAACCTGTCGGCTTCCTCGACAAACCGCTCAAATCTTCCAACAGCAGAGCTACTCAGCACGTCTTGATTTGGGACAATGAAAGAGGGCAGCACAGTATGCATAATCTTTCTGCGTAAAGAGGGTACCACTTTCTGACGACCCCTCGCCCTGCTGAGCAGATCACCGCACTCCTTGAAGACATCCTTCAGTTTCTTCCTCAGGCGAAGCAACGGCATGATGGTGACAGGCATCATCCTGGTCCTCTCGAGCGCCAAATCCAGCTTTAGGTGTGCCATCTCGAGCCTCTCCATGAGTTCCTCCTGGGACGCCTTTTCGCGGCGGCTGCTGAACACAAAGGCGACAGCTCCACTCACAGCCTCCTGCACAACTGCTGATGCTACCATTTCCCTCATTGTTTTCTTTTCCTGCAGAGAAATTAAACCAGGAAAGATGAGTGAGACTCACTGATTCATTAACCCATGACAGAATGGTAGATAGAAGAATACATGCATAGAGTGGGAGAGAAAGATGACCTTCTCGTTATCGATTTCGCCCTTGAGGGTAGCAGAATCAAGCTGGCAAAGCGAAGTGAAGAGAATAAGTATAGATGAATGAGACGGCTAGATGACTGTAAATGCAAAAACGAATGAAGAAGTGAGGGAGCAGCCTGAATATAAGAGAGGAAGTGCTAGGAAACAACCAGGAAAATGGTGAACGCTTAAAGATAAGAGGAAGCAGCGAGGAAAGCTGTGAACGCCGAAAGTTAAGAGGAAGCAGGGAGGAAAGTGCTCGTGCTACTATGAATTGAGCGGGCAAAGCCAACTAAAGAGGAATGCCACTATGAACACAGTGTAGCTAGCTGTGAACTACCACCCAAGCACAGAGCGGCACCAAATAAAGTATCCCAACCACTCTTCTTTGAATTTGTGTCTTCGTATTTCTTTATCCTGGCCCCCATGCACAGATAAAAGACCCATGCACATAGTACACACAGGACACAATATCTCTCTCTCTCTCTCTCTCTCTCTCTCCTAATAACAATCCATCACTTTTAATTTCCTTTTGAAAATTTAGAAGGTTCGTATCTTTAATTCCAAAATTTCTTTTTTGAAACTTTTTATATATTTGAACTCCTGATGCCAAGTCCTTTAAAACAAGATTAGTCTTGCATACATTACAAACACAATTAAATTTCAACGATCCAATCCATTAATTTCACTAAATCTATTTTGACTATTTTGAAATATTGATTTCAATTATTTCAAGCAACCGATTTCAATTTATTTTCGAAAGAATGATTTCAATAATTTCATTTATCACAATCCCTTCAGTCCGTGTAAAACCGCACTGTAGCCGTGAGAAACCCTCCCTAGACACTTGGATGGAATTGGGTGCGCCTCCCCAGTTCCTGTGCCGTTGTCAAGCTGCCAAATAAGCATTCTGCCACCTACTCGTTGTCCCTCCGCCACTTTTCGTTGCTTTCACACACCATTAGCCATCCTCCCACACCATCGCGTCACCCTCCTGCCAATCCTCCAACACCACGCTATGTGCCAACGTGCCGCCTATTTTGATGGCGCATGTCGTTCTACTCTGAATGCGGCAGGAGAATGACTTTGGAGGGGGAAAATGGGGAAGTCTCTCATCAATAGGGTACAAATGAGTATGACAATGTGTTTGAAAAAAAAAACTTCTAGCTAATGAAATTTAGGTATGAGGGAAAAACATCTGAATTTTCTCTTTCTTTTTCTCCAATACTTAAAAACTTAATTAGTGTATATAACGAGTTTCTTCAATAGAAGTACTATCAGATTCACTACTCAGTTTCTTTCTGCCAAAAGCAGCATCCACATCAAAACATCAGTTTGGAGCTTGATGGAGACATTCTTTTTGAGCAAACTGATGGAGACTTTTTTTTAGTATATATATTTGGCATTTTAGATATTGATATTGAGTACTATGAAATTAGATTTCATAATAAATCTAACAATATTGATTTGGCATTGTGAATGTCGATAGATTTTTTTTCTATAAATTTGATCAAAATAAAGATATTTTGACTTCAGACAAAAATTATTTGCAAACTGAAAAGGACGGAGAGAGTATTCATCATCCGGTGACTGGTAGCACCAGACTGTGGGTGCACGGGATAAATTCCCCCTGCCCATTGCAGCCATCGCAGCAATTCCTCACGGAGGACGACAGAGGAGAAGACCACGGCACCTTCATGCAGAAATTCCCCTGCTGCCGGCTGCTTTCCTCCGACCACCACCACCAGCAGCAGCTCCCCCCTGCACGGCCTCACCTTCGCCGTCAACCTCTCTCTGTCAAGCTCGCTCGCTCGCTCCCTCCCTCCCTTCCCTTCTTCCCTCGATTAGATCAACCTCTCTATGTGTACAGCTTCGATGTCACCGGCGTGGGCAAAACGGTGATGGACGAGATATGGCTTACAACATCAACGCTGAGTACGCGCACTACGGCCTCTCCGACTTCGGCACCGATACCGCGTACTGCTGCTTCTTCGGGCTCCGTTCTTCCCATGGATCCGCCATCCGAGAGCGGGTGTAGGAGGGAATTGCATCAGAGGATGAATCCGCCATGGATGATATTGATGCCATCAGGATCGAATTCAAGTCTGCCCTAGCTGCTCTGCTCAAGTTAAATCCATTCACTAGTAATTGTTGTAGAGGCCGGGCTTATCCTTCTTTCCGAAAAAAAAATTCACTAGTAATTGTTTAAACAGAACAAGCAATCTTTAATTCCGTTGCTGCACCAATTTTCTGAGCATGCAGCCAGCCAGGCAGCAGTACGAGTTGATTTGCTTTGTTGCTCTGCTTGAATGGATTTGCATTCTGTAGGAGGATGGGACCATGGCGATCCCGACGTCCCGCCGCGCTCCTCCGAAGCTGCGCATGGAGGCGGCCCTTCTCCCTGCTGTCTATCGCCGGCCTGTCAGGGTTCTCCCAGGTATGCATCTTGCTCGGCATCCAAGGGGGTGTCCTGATATCGGTCTCGCTGCTTGGGCGGCATGGCGCCGACCGTTTCCTCATCGTCGTGGCTCAAGAGCTCCATGAGGCGCTCCGAGACGAGGCCCCCGCCGGCTGGGGCTCTCGTCAGCTTTGCCTAATTCTAGCGTATCTTGCTGAATCCAATGGGATGTATGATAGAGCAAAGCAAACCACCGGAAATGGGAAGTGGGTACAATAGTTGTATGATTCCGTCTGAACTTATGCAATGTACACCGTGAAGGGCAGAGCAGAGCTGGCAGAGTGTGTGGAGTAAATAGATTTTGACGATGATACCTAGAAATTCAGACCGGTGATTAAAACAAACACAAATACTTCACACAACACAACAACAACACCTGCTAATGCCATGCACTTAAGAATAATCGCAAGCCATGCACAACTGTATTAACAAAGAAAATAGGAGTGCCTCCTTAAAAAAAAGAATGATCCACTGCCACCAGGCTTACAGAACATAGGCAGATAATATCAAGCACATTCATGGTTACAAGCCACGTGGCAAGGATAAACAAGTGGTTAACAGTAGCTGCATAAAAAGACCATGTAGCTAATAGGCTCAACAAGCTAATGGGTCTGTACTAGTATATGTAGTCCTTTTAAGCATGCCTTCCTAGTTCCAACCACACTGAATCGAAATATGAAACGACTTGTGTAGGTAATTGGGTGAGCTCCCTGGTTGCATCTTCAACCAGAGACTTGAATTGAGGTCCAAGTGACCGCAAACATTTAGCGGGAATTCCAACAATGTTTGTGCTTTCATATAGTCTTAGAATCACAGTTAGGTCACAATTTTTGAGTGGCGCCTTGCTGTCTTTGTATTGAAATTCTAGCCATGCGACTCTGCCGTGCTCGTCCACAAAATCCGTGCGTGTACCAAGTGAGGAAGCTTTGCTTCCTTGCACCATGTCATAGGAGAGGCCCTTGCCTTGAAGAAGATGTCTGATGGGAGAACTGAGAAACCTGTAGTGAGAAAGTGAAGATCCAGACTCCACGACCCTCACAAACTTTTCTGATTCCGTGGCAAACCGCTCAAACCTTCCAACAACAGAGCTGTTCAGCACATCCTGATTTGGGACAATGAAAGAGGGCAGCACAGCATGCATAATCTTCCAACGCAAAGAGGGTACCACTTGTTGATGATCCCTCGCCTTTTCAAGCAGATCATCACATTCCTTGTAGGCATCCTTCAACTTCTTCCTTAGGCGAAGCAACGGCATGATCGTGATGGGCATCATCCTGGTCCTATCGAGCGCCAACATCCAGCTTTATGTGCGCCATCTCTAGACATTCTTCTTGTTAGTGTAAGCCGGCAGGGAGCTAGTGGCTGCTTCTGGCCCCCGTCCACATGGGGGCTTTGGGGTAGTTTATCGGATAGTAATAAGTACAAATTCATTGATTAGCTTTGGGAATTGGAGTCGCCTCTTAGAAACTGGGACAGTCAATTGGGGAAGAAGATGAAGAGACTAGATTGACGACGTGTTTCTGGTAGAGAACCAAGGAAAGGAATGCGTTCGTGCGTGACTTGTCTCCCTTCATGGGCTGGGCCTGTTTCTTTAAGTATTATGGAGTACTATTTTTTTTTCTAGCAATACATATGCACGGGGTATGGGCCCCTGGTCGGGCTGGGCCCCAGGCCGTCGCACTCAGCGCCATGGGCCAGGGCCGGCCTCGGCGGCAAGGATGGCCATGGCTCGGTTGGGGTTACGAACTGTGAGGGCGATCGAGATGGACACGTTGTAGAAAAAAGACGATGGCCCCGTTTGGATCCCTAAGTTAGAGTTAGTTCTAGTTAGTTGGGGCTTAAATAACCCAAAAGTATCCAAACATGATGGGTTGATTTGGGTTAGTTGGATCTAACCCACCTCAAAAAACTAGCCCACACTAGAGGAGCTTATTTGGGTTAGTTCTCCTGGACCCACTAGAAAAATTAGTAGAAAAAGTTACCCCTCTCATCCAAACATGGTCTAAAGTAGTCAAATGATTAAGAAAGAATATTTATTGTCAATCTAACTCTATCATTAAAACATCTCTTTGGTTAGAGTTAGTTTAGGCTTGGTTCAAGATTAGAATCTAACTCTAACCTCTAACTGAGTTAGAGTATCCAAACAGGGCCAATATTGTGGTCGCAACTGACTCGGGCTGTGTGTTAGTGGGGGCGAAGCTAGCGGGCGGGACGGGCGTCCTGGACGCAGGCCTTGATCTGTGGGATAACGGCGAAATGTAGCACGAGGAGCACGCTGGCGGCAAGGACGGTGAGCGCAGGTAGGGCATTTGAGCAGCCAGGAGGCGTTCCTTTGTGCCATTTCGTACGTGTTTCATCTCCAGTAATATCGTGGTCCAGAGCCTAATTATTAACGGCTCGGGGGTATGGGATATCATGCATGGCT